TAAGTTGCATGTGTTGTTGAGTGCGAGTAAGGTGCAGTGGTGGTATTAATGTGGGCCTGGTCAATTGTAGTAGTGATAGTTGGAGGTACTGGAAGATGAATATTAGTGACAGCAGTAGTAGAGTCACTTGGAGGTATTGAAGAATTGACATTAGTGGGGGAGGGTATGTGTTGATGGTAACATGTTGGTGTTGAAGGATGAATATTAGTGGTAGTCTGTGGCGGTGTAGTTTGATGAGGGATCGAGGAGATGTGTGCTTGTACAGTACTTGTAGGTACAGTAATAGTTGTATTAGGTGATATTGTAGAAGGTATCTTAGTGGTAGAGATGGGCGGTTGAGGTACTATTGAGGATTGTGTCAGTGGCTTGGTAGGCGTATGGGGTAGTATGGTTGGTATGTAATCATTGGATGTGGGATTTAGTGGGGTGGGAGTAGAAGGTGCATTGTCATGGTGGGCGGGCGGGGTAGGAGGAAAATGTGAGGATTGATTATCAGAAGTGGTATTTGAATTTTGGAAGATGAATCTATTTTGCGTTGTAATAGGAGTGGCCTGTGACACATGGAAATTTTTTTATATTATTTTTTTTAGTATTGACAGCCGTAGAGGGAGTAAAGGCATTGGTTGTAGTGGAAGCAAATGCAGGGGCATACTTGGTATTTTTTCTTATATTCTTTGGGTAGACCACGATTTTCCAAGGGCTGATGTCACTGTTGTCTTCATCCATATCTGTGTTAGTACTTGGATTTGGCGGTGGTGTTTGGGAAGTAGGTGGTTTATTATCAGGAGGAGGAGGACAGGAAAGTGCAGTGTGACCTAAACATCCATGTAGAGTACAAAGAGGCGATGTATGTTCATAATAGATTTTTTGTAGATGGGTACCTAATAAGATTTCAACGGGTAATTATTTTCCTATCGGAGCAAGGATACATAGGCGGGCATAACGACCTCGAGTAGCTGTGGTTGTACAGTTATCATCTTTCAGTGGGGTTCCTATGAGGCTGCCAATTTTTTGTTGGATTTGCATATCATAGTATTCAGTAGGTAATTTCTGTAAACGTACCCATATGGTGGAGAAGTTGTTTTGGGAGGAAGCTGGATTAAATTTTGATTCCCAGTTACGGATGGATAGATATTGTGGACCAACAAACTACAGACCCTTTTGGATGACTTTGTGATAATTATCTTTGTTTATGAATTTTACAAGGTAAAATTCATATTCTATATCTATAAGGTTTACTGGTTCGTTGAGGTGCCACAGTAAAGTTAATTTATTTTTTAGGTAGTTATAGGCTACTTTGGGACCAAGTCGGCGAATGATCACAACTTAGGTCCGTGATTGATTGTAATGACACGGTCGGTGGTTTTGAGTATTTTAGCCTCGTTTTTTCATTTACTGTTCAATTTGTGCTTTACAGTTATTATGTGATTTGCCGGGGTAATTGGTTCGGATCCGGTGAGGTTTCGAAATGAATTGAGACACTTAGTCTCAAAGATGAAAGCTTAAGTTGAAAAGGTTGACCGGATGATTGACTTATATATAAACGACCCCGGAATAGAGTTTTGATAATTCCAACAGCTCCGTATGGTGATTTTGGACTTAGGAGTGTGTCCGAATAATTATTTGGAAGTCTGTAGTTAAATTTGGCTTGAAATGGCGGAAATAAAAAATTTAAAATTTGGAAGTTTTGACCAGGGAGTTGACTTTCTGATATCAATGTCGGAATCATATTCTGGAAATTGGAATAGCTTTGTTATGTCATTTATGGCTTGTACGCAAAATTTGAGTTCATTCCGCATTGATTTGATATGTTTCGGCGCGAGGTTTGAAAGTTGAAAGATTTAAAGTTCATTAAGCTTGAATTGGGGTATGATTCATTGTTTTAGTATTATTTGATGTGATTTAAGGCATCGATTAAGTTCGTATGATATTTTAGGACTTGTTGGTATATTTGATTGAGGTCCCGAGAGCCTCGGGTGGATTTCGGATGGTTAACGGAATTTAATTTGGATATTTCTAGAAGGTTCGACGTCGATTCTTCAAGAATACGTGGTATCATATTAAGAAAATGAGCTCCAAATTTAGGTTTTATTGAAGCATTAGTTCCGTATTGAAATCACAGAGCCATAGCAAAAAGAATCGTCGATTTCGGATATCGTATGAGAGAGTTATGCTCATTTCCGTATCGGGAATGATTTTCTGTCGCCGTTAGCGCCCAGGGTAGCATGGGGTGCTATCCCTGGTACTGGGACTTCTAGAAGTACAGGAAAGGGCGCCACAGGCAGCGCCCCACGCCACCTGTGGCGCCACAGACGTAAAAACCCCATAAAACGGGGAGTTTTGCTATTTTTACTCATTTTTGAGTTTGGGGAGCTCGGTTTAGGCGATGTTTGGGCGATTTTTACGGGAAAATATTGGGGTAAGTGTTCCTTATCCTATATTGATTATATTTCATGATTACATATTCATTTACATCATGAATCCGTGAATTTATGGAAGTTCCGAGACGTGGGCCCCACTATCGATTTTTAGAGTGGAGTTGGGAATTTTTTTAAATTATTAAATTGTAAGCATTAGAGCAAATTGTGATTAATTTGCACGTTGTTTGAATAGATACAAGTCGTTTGGCTTAAATTGAGGAGATAGGGAGGCGTATGGAGGTTAATACGCGCGGAATGGAATTTCTGGAGTATTGTACGTCTTGCTCGGTATTGGATTCGGCTTGCTCGAGGTAAGTAACATCTTTAATCTTGGAGCTGAGGGTATGAACCCTGATTATACGTGTTATGTGAATTGTTTGGAGATGACGCACATGCTAGGTGACGGGCGTGTGGGCGTGCACCGTAGAAATTGAGAGTCGGTTGATTCTGTAGAGTTGTATAGTCAATTAACTTATATTTTTTCATGTATTCTTATGTGTTATAGAAATCGAGTTGTGACTTATGTTAGAAAATTATGCTTAGGCAAATGTTGGTATTATTGGGGCCATTGAGGTCGTTTTTGCTGTCGAATTATATGTTTAAACTATAATTCATACTCAGTCATATTCATTTGTTGCATATCATATCTCAGTCTCTGTTGTTATTTATTGATACATCATATCATCATTTTGGGCTAGTTTCATGACATTGTGAGCCCGAGAGACTGGAGAGATTGATGACTGAATGAGGCCGAGGGCCTGATTTTGAGGTTATTGATACTATAGTACGTGAGTTGTCTGTGTTGCACGTGAGTTGTTCGTGCAGCATGTGAGTTGTCCGTGCAGCACGTGAGTTGTCCGTGCGGATCCAGATATTGATAATATAGCATGTGAGTTATCCGTGTGGATCCAGATATTGATACTATAGCACGTTAGTTGTCCGTGCAGTACGTGAGTTGTCCGTGCGGATCCAAATATTGATACTATAAAACGCGAGTTGTCCGTGTAGTACGTGAGTTGTCTGTGCAGATTATAGCGCTTGGGCTGACGGAGCCTCTCCGGAGTCTGTACACATCCCCAATGAGCGCAGATACCTACTGAGTGCGAGTGCTGAGTGCCGAGCAATTGAGAGGATTGAGTGATTGGGAGGACTTAGTGAAATGATACTCGAAGAGTATGCATATGGTTTTATCACTGAGTTGCATCGCATTGACATTCACACTTGACATACAAGCATAGAGATGCATTTTCCTCATGCTATACGGTATCATGTCATTCATGACTTCTCACACATATTGGCATATGGGCATAGTGATGCATTTTTCATTGGCTATGTAGAAAAAAAATAAAACATCTTATTTATTGTTGAAAGGAATTTTGGAAAAATTTACTGTTTTCAAACTTACTCATATTTTTGGCAATTTCGGTAAAAGACTTGAGTTTTCACTGATACACTTGAAAGGTAGAGCTATTTTCAAAAATCATGATTAAGCTGAGCATTTTATTTTCAAGTTACTTCTTTTATTACTTGCTTTACGTTGTTATGGACTGTTGTTGGCTATTAGTGTTGGACCCGACCTTTGTTCCAGCTCGTCACTACTTTTAACCTAATGTTATGTTTGTTACTTATTGAGTACATAGGGTCGGTTGTACTCATACTACACTTCTGCACCTTGCGTGCAGATATTGGATGTTGATGTTGCTGTGATCGACGAGAGCTGAATTTGGAGACGTACCTGTGTTCCGGTCGTAGTTGCCTCTTGTTCATGGTAGCCTTAGATTTATAAATAAAATCTGTTTATGTACATTTCGAACAGATGATGTATTAATTTCATACCAACTTTGTAAATTCTAATCTTAGAAGTTCATGATTTGTACTATCAGTTATCGGGGAGTATATTAGATTCAGTTAAATATTAATTGAATCGGATTATTGTTATTTAACTTATCTAGCGGGTGATATTAGGTGTCATCATGACTAGTTGAATTTTGGATCGTGACATCAATAAAAGAAAAATGTAATTGGTATAAGGGGGGG